TCTGGCAGAATGCCAAAAAATATTGATTCGTGTGGAAGGGGAAATACCTCAGAATTCATTATTGCAACTCAAGTGGTGTCCGCCTTTGCAAAAATTGCAATAGATTTTCAATGGAAAAGGGAGAGAATGGGTCCCGGAAGATTCATCGAATGGTAGAGAAGAGAGATTATTCAAACTGATGAGAATGCTGATTTGAAAGAGGGAAGAATGTTACTGTTCTGGGATCCCGTTTAGGCACGTAGGTCCGTTCAAGGGAAAGAATGGGAACAAAAATAAAGTTCGCAAAAAGAAACTGAGTGGTCTTTTGTGTGGGAAAAGCACCAGTCTATGTACAATGACAAGGTCATCCAAACTGCATACAATAATAAGGTCATTCAAACTATGCACAATGACATCATAGGAAATATTCTTTTTTAGTGCATCTAAGTGTCGCATGGGTAGAAATGACGCACCCACTGAAAATGTAAGTTTTAAACACGTAAACGGTGCAGCATTTCTTCCAGAAATTATGGTATAAATACTCTTTCGCAAGAAAAATCGAAGCATTAAGAAGGACTTTTGCAATCGTGACCAAATGTGGTATGCAAAAACATCTTGATCGAACATGCAAATGATCAAAGTTTCAAGCCAAATGAAGAGAAATTGTGATCATAACGTGCATTTCTAGTGCGCAATTCCCAGAGTATAAAACCAATAACAGCGGCGGCCCACCAGCGGCCGAGCGGTAACGTCGCTGAACACTGGTAGTTCGGTCCGAGGTTCGAATCCCGCGAACGGGCTGGCTGCATGGGTGTTTTCATGGTTTTCCCCATGTGTAACGTGTATACGAGCCAGTTTCCCTTAAAAAGTCCTCCCCGAAGGCATCCCTCCCTTAAGGCAGATAGCCCTCGAGTGCTTTGCCGTAATCTAATAAACCAAACCAAACCAATAACAGCGGCAGAAAATTTATCTTTTTTTGTTGCTGCCATTGTAATTCCGTAAAGAAGCAACTAAAGAGGTCATTATGACGATATCAAAGACCTTATAGACAACTAAATACTTTGAACATGGTTGCATTGCAGGATTCCGTGAAGCTGGGTGGTCATACTGATCAATAGGCCACTACATGCAGTGTACAGACACTGATGTGCAAAGATGTTGGCAGCAATGGATGCTACAAGGAAATTGCAGACAAAATGAATGCTCTGGAAGGCCAAGGAGCATAAATGTGAGGCAAGATAGAATTATTCACCAGGCCCGACCCGTCCAACTGTATCATTGTCGACTATTCGACGCTCTACAGCCACATCTACACCTCCCGTGTTACCGTCCACCATCTCACAGCGCTTGTTCTAAGGTGGGGTTACGCTCACAGAGGCCTTTAAGACATTTGCCTTTAACCCACAACATCAGCGGAGTCATCTGGAGTGGTGTCGCAGCCAATCATTGTGGCTGCCATCAGACTGGCATCGTAGAGTGTTCAGCGATGAATCCCACTTCACTCTTGAAGCAGATGACCACCGTGTTTGTGTCTGGAGAGGCGCATGGCCAGCGGTCTCAATCAGCCGTTGTTTTACAGGGCTGATTACAGGCATACAGCCATAACCATAGTGTGATGATGTGGGGCGCTATTTCTTTTGACAGCAGGCCATCTTTGGTCATCTTCTGTACATCTTTAACAGCTCAGTATGTTTATACAGTCAACAGTCTTTAATCCGGACTTGTCGGCACTTCAGCGATTCCGGATTATCGATTTTTTCGGATTATAGATCATCAGTTTAATCTGGTAAGATGACATGCAGAAATCATAAAATTAAAATATGAAACCATAATTTATGAAATAAAGAGCAATTATGATCTAAAGGGAATCAAAATTTACAAAAAAAAAAGCTTAATATTTATTTGTTTACTTTATTAAACATTTCTTTCAACACGCGCATGCGTAAAGCATACATTACGCATAGTCAAAATTAGAAAATTGCAATCAGAACATTATTTGATGTGTACTAGTGATATTTATAATGACGAGGAATTTTATTTAAATCATATCAAAGACGGAGTACATCGAGATGAAATACTACATTTAGTAAGGAATTATAAGCTGAACAAAGTAAAAACATCTGCCCTGAAGATAAGGATAGTGCTGACAGATCAACTTCCAGTTCATTGTGTGCGGTAACGTTCCCCCCACTCCACCCCGGCAGAGCAGCGTGAAATTGATAAACATATTTCGGAATGGTTAGAGAAACAAAGGCTATGCCTTTATCCATTTTTTGCAGCAATTCCACTTTTTGTTTGATGGACATCAAAACATACTTTTACTTTGTAGATCTTTTGGTAGCTCCAGCATCGGAAATTCTATTTGACATAATCGAAAGTTCAAGCTTACTTTTATAAAATTGCTCTAACAGTCTGCAAAAAATAAAAAGCCGGATCCAATTCGAAGATTAATTAACAATGCAATCTGCAACATTAACTGAAATAGATAATTAGATAATTTTAGCTTAGCTTATACCATCCGTTATACATTAAACGCACATTCGTAAATGTATTATGCGCATGCGTGAAGGTATTACGCGCATGCGTGAACGCATTATGCGTTGATGCATGCGCAGAAAGTTTGTAGCTTTGAGGTCCGGTTTATGGATGTCCGACTTTTGACTATAATGTTACAAGAAAAATATAATGGGATATGCCAAAAGAACCTGTAGTAACGTTGAGAGGGTCTGCATCACAAAAAGTAATACTTTGCATATGGTGGATCTACATAGGTTGGTTTTGGTTTGGTTCATGTGATTATAGCAAAGTCTCAAGAGCATCTTCCTAAGGGATATGCCTTCATGGAGAACATTTGTAAGGAAAACTGGTCTGTATACATGGTAGACATGGGGAAAAACACAAAAACGCCTATGCAGCCAGCCTGTTCGTGGGATTCGAACCTCAGACCGAACTAGTGTTCAGCGGGAACTGTGCATTATGAATTACTGCCATCTAACCAGACAATGAATTTGGAAAAATTCTGTTCCAGGTGGCAGTTTTAAAAGTAGAATTTCAAACAAGTGCCCAGAACTAACCAGCTGTTGAGATGTCTTTAATTTTACATGCTAGGCCCCCAGATTTCATTGAATGACAGACAGTTATTTGAGTATGGGTGAGGTGATTTGTTTGAAAGTTTTAAGGTTGGTATTTGGCCAAAAGCTGACTTTCCTTCTACGTGTTTAGTATTTGAGGAAAACGTGTTTTAAAATGTTAAAGGTTTTGATGAATGGGGACCTGGGGTGCAGAACATGGCTCTTTGCTGTGCATTTACAAAGCTGTAGAAGTGTTTTAAAATATTAAATATAGTAAAGGTTTTAGCGAATACCTGGGGTGCAGAACATGGCTCATTGTTGTGCATTTACAAAGCTCTTGTCTGGTTTAAATTGGACTATGGCTCAGTTGTCTATTGATCAGCACAGACTACTGTGCTATTGAGATTAGATCCTGTTCGTCATTGAAGATTTATTCTAGAGCTTTCAGAACTTCTCTCCGTTTCAAAGCCTGTACGTAGACTGCTGTGAACCTTCACTCAAGTTAAGGCATGAGCAGTTGTCTCTTTACTACTACACTGGTCATCAAAATTAAGGGTAATGAGAAAAAATATCCTCACTAAGTTAATGTTGCAACCAAAGTTATAATTATTTATGTTAATTAAATACAACTGAACACAAAATTGTACTTCCGAGCATATATTAATTAGCTCTAGAAATATGCAAATTTGGTGATTGACAATGTGGTGCGCTATGGATGAATGTTGGAATTCCACTCTATAGTGTTGTTTAAAGTGAATGTGGTTTCTGAGAGTTATCAGTATTCAGCAGTTATGGCTCAAAGGCATCATTTAAGTAAAGGCCAAAAGTGGTGAATAATTGGTAGAATCAAGGGAGGTCGCCCAAGATTTAATATTCCTTAAAGCGTCATATCAAGAGTTTGGATAAGCACTTTTTAAGTACTGGATCAGTTGATAAACAGCCTGATCAAAGGCAACCAAGAGCAACAGCTGCATTAGAAGACTGTTTTCTGTCATTGTCGGCTATAAGAAACCATGAAGCGACTTCAACCTTCGGGCCGATAGGGTTTTAGACCTTCAGGCTGCTACATGAACTGGAATAAGCTGTTCTGCTTCTGCATAAAGACTTAATGAGGTTGGACTGTATGCAAGAAAACCAATGGTTTGTTTCCCACTCACTGCAGATTCCAGAGGAACCCATTTAAATTGGTGCCGTCATCATGTGCAATGAAGCCAAGATAACTGGGCACAAGTATTGTTTATTGACCAGTCCAGATACAGTCTGAACAGTGATTCTAGACATGTTTTGCAACTTATTTTCCCTTATCTTTGAAATATCCTGTATTCATGACTGTAGTTTAATGGTTTGAGGAGAAATCACGGCAAATGGTCAGTCGCACTGAGCTGCATATATTTCAAGGAGGTTTGGTAACTGCTCAGAGATATGTGGATAAGGTATTGGAACCCAAGTTAGACTGTTTAGGGGTGCTGTTGGCCCAGAGGTTTTGCTAATGGATGACAATGAAATAAACAATAATGAGCAACTAACTAAACAACTGTCAGCAGGTGCTCTCTTTTCAAGCCTTAAATAGTTTCCAACTGCCATGAGAAATTTCTAGTACTTTCTGCTGCTCGAAATTACTGGAAAGCAATACGAGGGTGAAATCGCAGTTACAGCTAAGATACTGCTCAATTACATTTATTCAATTTCAATACAAATTACCGAGATATTAATTAACTCAATGTTAAATGCATGTGCCTCTGTATTCTTATTTTTCCAGCTTAGCTTTCTCTTGAATATCTGTCTCGGACTAAATTACACAGAAAAATACATTTTTAATTATAAATTCTACAAAAATTACCTATCTAAATACAAAATTTGTAAAAATATGTAGAAATGTTATAACCTAAACAAATTCTTTTGAATATCATTAAAATATTTCTTTTCAACTTTATATATTATTTTTTTTAGAAGCATACGTGCTCTGAATCTAATGTAGCAGAAAATCCTTCTCTGTCCTCTGCAGTGACAGGATGGTATATGGCTGGCTATTATACAGGTTTACAGAAGGTAAAGTTACCATTTGTAAAGCTTGCAACTTTTTTTATTGTATTAATTTTTTGTTCAAAATTTGCTTGGAAGTATAAATATGGTCATTCAAGGTGTAGTGTGTACTGATCTGGATAGTTGAAGGTCAAATAAAGCAGATAGAAAATCACATTTATTTCAGATAAAGCATTACAGCTATAAATAATCTTGCTGATTTAAATGGTACAACCTTTCACTTTTAAGCATCCTTTTTACGTCTTGGTAAACTTAATGTTAAAATGTATGTGATTTGTCATCTTTGCACATTTCCTCCTCTGGATACAGGAAAGTTTTTGGCAGATATGTATTTTTCCATTGATCATGAGAGTTGGCGAAGGTCACGTCAAGTTTATGTCAACCACAAAACTTTCTAGCAGATATATATTTTACCATTGACCATGAGAATTGGTGAAAGTCGCACCAAATTTGTGGTAACCACTCCAGTGGAAGTTTGGAATAAGACATTGTTATTTAGTTAATTATATACCCAAGTAGCACAGCAATGTTGTTTACAAACTCACCGTGGAAAATGTTGCAAAAACATTGCATTATGTCGCCTTTAAGACGCCCAGATGTCTGTCAAATTCAGCTGTTTTGCAATGGTCACAAACACGTTTTTATTACATCCTCACATATCAGCTTTTTGTCGCAAAGACGTCATTATTGCATCCTTTTTCAAGTGGTATTTTGGTTATAAAAGCACTGTGTTAGGTGGCATAGACATAGTATCATTATATCTTAATGACACCCAAATGTCTGCACCATTCCACAATTGTGAAAACATCATTATTACTGTCTTGTGGTACATATTATGATTTATAGAGAAAAATAAGCATAATAATTAATATCTTTTGTTTTCTTTTTAAAAATTTTACATTCCAAAAAAATTACAAATTTAAAATTTTACATTTTACATCAAAAAAAAAAAAGAAATTGAAACATTTTTATCATTTCCTGAGAATCAGAAGATAATACAATTTTTATTTGTAGAATAAATTTACATAATTTCAAAACACCAAATTTTCAAGAGAAATTCATTAAAATTTATGAAACTGATAGTACATTGCAAGTATTCAGTATAAAAATAATGTACTATAAAATATGAAGAATAGTTACTTTGCATCCTTATGAATGACTGTGTTATTAGATTTAATTCAATTCCCCTTTTAATGAATATAATGCTTAAAATTAAAACTCCAGAAACATGATGTATTAATTTTTAATATTTTATTATGCATATAAAGGAGGATAAAAATAATTTAACAAAGCAGTCACCATTATTTAAATATATAAATACACCCAAACCTGTTTTTGTGCAGTGTATGAAAATTTCAATAAAATTGGAACATAATTGACAAAGTTATCAATAAAAAAAGTAAAATAAATAATCAATAAAAAAGGGAGCTTCAATCTTTTATCTGGCTAACCAGACATATACCAGCATCTAATGAAACAACAGTCATAGCAAAAACTGATCACCGACTACACGGTAACTGAAAAAGTCAACTCTAAATTACTCTTTTTCTATAGCTACTCGTGAAGTTTTGCGTGATTTTTTTATGCGGGCACTGTCCACCACACATAAACAGGTGTGCATAGTTATATCAAAGGTATTAAATATTAAAATTCTTACAAAACTATCAAGTATGCAAACTACAAAACTATCAAGACTGTATAAAATATTTCTCCCGCCATCTCAGCGTGCCTTCGTGGTGTAATGGTCTGCATGCTCGGCGTATATTCGAGAGGTCCGTGGTTCGATTCCCAGTGAGGGCGTTGCTAATTTTTCAAGTCTCTTGCTTCCAAAAAATCCTAATGTCTCTACAGTGGCCCCTGAACTAAAAAAGGTGGTGGATGATGATTCCAAATTAGAAAAATTGAAGATTTTCCCCAGTTAGTAAAATCTGCAGAGATGGAAAGCAAAGAAACTGAAAAGCCGAGATTCAGCAACAAAGTCAAAAAGAAAATTACTCTCCTGAAGGAAGCAGATGAAGCACTGAATTGGCTACAAGACGAAAAAATCCAGGAATTCCTAGGTACCATCGTCGAAAACATTGAGAAGATTAGGAAGGCAAAGTCAAACGCCGAGAAATTTGCAGTAGGCTTCAAAACAGCTATGTATATTATGAAACTGGCTGGAGAAGGAAATTAGGGAAAAAATGCTTTTTCATGAACTGATAAAATTTGGACTTTATTCTCATTTTCAAAAATTTTTCTCATCATTTCTCAACATGGTGCCTGTTTTCTCAAGATGCATCTCTCGGGGTCAGTTCTTAAGAGGGTGACCTCCCACGTGACTGGCCTCAGTGAATCGACTTTCTTCAACAGCTTGTGATAGATGTTTCAACGAGTGAGCGAAAGTCTTAAGTTCAATCACAGGGCTTTGCTGTCTTAAAAATTTCTCTTTCGTCCCCAGGATGCGGTGCACAAGATAGTGCACTTTTATTTAACAACAAAATACCTCTAGAACCCAAGGGTATACTAATTTACTGGTTAATACTCTAGGAAATATATACCATATGTGAGACTTATGATCCAGATCCAACAGTGCAGTATGAAAATTCTTACAAAACTGTCAATCCCTGCAAAGCAAGTTTTATCAAAAAACTGTAAATCAATATACAGTCAAACGTCGTTAATTCGGACACCCATAATCCGGAATGATCTATAATCCGGACCTCAAAGCTACAAACTTTCTGCGCATGCGTCGCGTTCACGCATGCGCACAGGCGTTTACGAGAGCGCGTAAGACCCTTACGGCTGCGAATATGTTTGTGCGCATGCGCGTTTAATGTGTAACGGAGTTATACGCTAAGCTAAAGTTATCTAATTCAGTTAATGTTGCAGATTGCGTTGTTCCTTAATCTTCGAATTGGATCCGGCTTATTATTTTTTTGCAGACTGTTAGAGCAATTTTATAAAAGTAAGCTTGAACTTTCGATTATGTCAAATAGAATTTCCGATATATATTTACTACAAAGCGAAAGTATGTTTTGAAATCCGAAATCTGTTTATCAATTTCACGCTGCTCTGCGGCAGAGGGGGGGGGGCAGAAACGTCATTATTAGATTATGATAGATTAGAAAGATTATGTCAAATAGAATTTCCGATATATATTTACTAATATGTAATTTGTATCTACAAAGCGAAAGTATGTTTTGAAATCCGAAATCTGTTTATCAATTTCACGCGGCGGATTGGAAGTTAATCTGTCAGCACTATCCTTATCTTCAGGGCAGATGTTTTTATTTTATTTGGTTTATAATTCCGTACTAAGTGTAGTATTTCATCTCGAGGTACTCCGTCTTTGATATGATTTAAATCAAGTTCCTGGTCATTATAATTCACTTCCGATAGTGAAGAAAGTGACCCAGAGGTTATTGAAAATGAAAACATTTCCATTGACAAATTAGTCGGTATTCTCAACACAGCAATTATAGGACTTGAACAGTGGAACTTTGTAACTAAACAAGAAATTATGTCTGTTTAATAGAATTAAAGAGAAAGTATTATCACATGAAACGAAGCAACTTACATTGAAGGAAATGTTTAATAAAGTAAACAAATAAATATTAAGCTTTTCCTTTTTGTAAATTTTGATACCCTTTAGATCATAATTGTTCTTTATTTCATAAATTACGGTTTCATATTTTTAATTTTGTAATTTCTGCATGCCATCTTACCAGATTTAAACTGATGATCTATAATCCGGAAAAATCGATAATCCGGAATCGCTGAAGTCCCGAGAAGTCCGGATTAACGACTTTTGACTGTATATTTTTGTACAGCAATTTGAAGCAAAATGCATAATCTTAGGGACATAATTTTAAAAGGATTTTACCTTTCCACTTGTGCACTTAAAAACTAATGTAACAAAATAATTAGCATTATTTAAGTAAAAGCAAAATATATAAATGCAGAATTCCATCAAAGCAATTAAACATCAGAATTCTTGCTAGATAAATTTTCTCAAAAACCATTAAATGAATATACTGTTTTTTTGTGCTAGAGGTTGAAGCAAAGTACATAATCTTAACAAACATATATCCATTGATTTATTTTTTTGTTTCATAAGCAAATTTCTGGTATTTTAATTTTCATGGAGGTACTTTAAAAATGATTTTATCTCTTCAACTTTAGCTTATGCATGAAAGATAAAGAAAGTTTACCATTATTTAACTAAAAAGAAAATATATAAATACAAAATTCTATCAAAGCTATTAATGAATTACTATGTAGAATGAAAAATAAAAACATTTATCATTATTTAACTAAGAAGAAAATATATAAATACAAAATTTTATCAAAGCTATTAAATATCAAAATTCTTGCAAAATTATCAGTGCCTGCAAGTTTTCTCAAAACACTTCACAGGTATATACAGTACAAAGTCCGTAATCCGAACAACCATTATCCGGAATGATCTATAATTCGCACCTCAAAGCCACAGACATTTTTTTGAATGCTTTACGCATGCACGTTTAATGTATAACGGACGGTATAATCTAGGCTAAAATTATTTTTACTGATTCTAAAGCATTTCAGTTAATGTTGTAGATTGTGCTGTTCCTTAATCTTCTAATTGGATCTGGCTTTTTTTTTTTTGTGCTTATTATTAAATATCACTTCCGATAGTGAAGAAAGTGACAGAGAGGTTATTGAAAACGAAAACATTTTGATTGACAAATTAGTCGTTATTCTCGACACAGCAGTGATATTATTTGAACAGTGGAACTTTGTAACTGAACAAAAAATTATGTCTGTTTATAGAATTAAAAAGAAAGTATTAGCACAAAAAACGAAGCAACTTAAACAACTTACATTAAAAGGAATGTTTAATAAAGTAAAAAAATAAATATTAAGCTTATTATTATATTATTATTATTATTATTATTTTTTTTGTAAATTTTGATGCCCTTTAGATCATAATTGCTATTTATTTCATAAATTACGGTTTCATATTTTTAATTGTATAATTTCTG